GACTACGGAATCTTTTCGCCGGAATTATCACCTTTCTTGCGCTGTTCTTGTTGGTTTCTAGCTCCATGCTATTGTTTTCGTCGTTCTCGGTGCACCTTTCGATCGGCGTTGTTTCAGTACTCGCCATGTTCAGAATGCGGGGTGATGGGCAGGCCTAGTTCTGTCTACCCGGGGTCCGGGCCTACGGCGGCCTCTCGAGGTGAGAATTAAAAGAAAGACTCGCCTACATTTGGTTCTGCTGGAAGTCTTTCGATGGGTCGCCGTCCTTAGGTAAAAGATTTGGGTCGGGGGACCCAGTTGATGGCAGGAATTTAGTGGTGTTAGCGGAGCTGAAGCGAACGCTGCTGCTCCTCATGCCACTTCGTCGTCTTTTCGCCCAAAGGAAGCTCCTGAAACCGCAAGCACCACGTGATAGATCTGTGCACCGGTCAGGTATTGACGGCGGCGGCGCGCCGGAGTGTGGATGTGTTTTGCGAGAGCAATGTGCATGAAGCCGTATGTACCTCTGGATCAGCGTCTTACTTTACTCTGACGACTGTATACTTGCGGCACTAGCGGTCCAGAAACGAGCTGGATCCAGCGTCCAGTAGCAACAGAAGAGGGGGGGAATGTATGTCTCTTTTTCGTCGTTAGACGATTTAGAGAATACCGCGCACAACAGCTCCTCATCACTGATCAGTGCTGGCTCATTATCAACCTACTTGATTGCCCTTGACGTTTGAGCGCGGCTCGCCTATAATTGTGATGGGTCAACAGATTGCACACGGCCATATGGACCGCGCCTCAAAGAATTTCATTCTCGCCGTCTTGTACTTTTTGCCTTCAAAAACCCTTCTTGCTCCACAGCATTGCTCTATTCGTGCTACCATGTGATCCATTAGAGTAGATTTGGAACATAGCTATGGTTAATAGTACGTAAGAACACGTACCAGATCTCTCTTTCTCCCCCCCCCCCCCCCCCCCCTTCCCGCCTTTTATTGATAGCAACTCACCGGAACAGCTGGACGACACACCTTCAAAACTTTAGTGCGGCGTCGATTCTTGATCGGTATCCAAGCGTGCGCAGGCACAAAGGTGCAGCACTCGGCGTGCCAAGGAAGCTTTGATCACGCCGCGAGACCGGCGACACTTGCTTTCGACGAGTTGTACCTTTACATACGGCTTCGCACACATTGCACTTGTAAAACACATCCCCACGGTGTCGATTCTTGTTCGGAATCCAAGCGTGCGAAGGCACAGAGACACAGCACTTTGGCGTGCCAAGGAAGCCTTGAGCACACCGCGAGACCGGCGAAAGTTGCTTTTGACGAGTTGTGCCTTTTTCCTGCGGCACCGCGCTTTCGTAAAAATTTCCACGTGTTTCTCAACGGCAAGCATCACGGCTTACACAGGATCTTAAAGAACAACTTCGGCAAATGACGACGAACGAGTAGAAAACGTGCTGATAGCACGCTGCCACCGGCCTCTGCTACGCTAGCAAAACAAAAAAAACGGCGTGCCAGATGGCCGGTTGCCGCACTCGCGGAAGGGGAATGCGCAGTATTTGCTGCGGCTTTGGGGAGGCGGGTCTACCACGTGACCAGTGGCGGCTCCCGCGGGGGCCATCTACAAATTCCTTTCCCGCCGTAAATATTAGAGATGGGCGGAATCTGCCGAACTTCAGATTCAGTAAAGTTCGGCAAATGCCGAACTTTTGAATAGAAGTTCGTCAAAATTTTGGAAAAAATTCGTTAAGCGTCTGCGCACCCGCGAAAACGCGACGGGGCCATCGATTGCAAATGGAGCCGTGCGGTCGTGCGGTTACCATCGTACGGTGTAGTACTACCAGTGGTTACGGCGAGGTGCGGAATAACTGTGGCAGTATGCGTTAAAATATACTTAAAATCTTTTTTCGCACGAAAATACGATATATCAACTTTTAGGTCTAGCAGCAATGTATTTTTGCCGAATCTTTGCCGAATCTTCAGATTATTTATACTAAATATTATAGTACGCGCAAAACAGGGAGTTAAAGAGTACCCATGGAGACTCGATTATCATACCGCTATCACCAACACTGCTCTCGACATGATGATTCTTTGAAAGAAATTTAAACTTTTCTCTGTCCTATTGAAAAACTACAAAACAAGTTATAGGTTTTATTTCTGCCCCATCGAAAGAAGACTGTAGCTATCTCGAACTTCTTAGCTTCCTCGTCACCTTTACGACTCCTCCCCTTTCCTAAAACTAACAATGATAATAATAAAAAAAAGAATGTGCTAATAAATATACTCACGAAATAGACGGATCCGTCTTTTTTTTTGTTACTTTTTAATTGTGAGTGAGTGAAAAAACGGTTCTTGATTTTTGGGGATACATGTTCACTCACCACGCGTTGCTGTGTTTGTTTTCTTTCTTACATCACCGGCGTTTTGTTTTTTTTTAAATTATTTCTATCACTTTCCTTGAATTCTTTGCAGCATCCCTTTTTCTTGGTCCCAAACCTCCTCCCGTCCACCCTCTTTTTCTCCAGTCCTAAAACAATTGAAATTGCAAAACGGTTTTCTGTGCGGAATTTTGATTCCCATTAGCATCCTCGATCATCGGCACCGATGCGCACGGGGGCATCGAGGTGCACCCCGTTGTCTTCGATCGAGTGCACCGGTGCGCACCGGAGGTCCTCGATCAACGGAGCGCACCCCCCCGGTGCGGCTCTTCGCTGCCCCAACGCGCACCAAGAAAATCGACTGTGCGCCGTGGTACAGTCCCATCAAGCATTGCGACCAGGAGGGGGAATCGAAAAGATGGCGGGAGTCGAATAGCAGACGCGTAGCCGTCAGGAGAACGCAGCAGGGCGGTTCAAACAAATGCCTCCAGCAAGCCGCCGTAGAGTTCCTGTATTCGCGTCTCCAGCTCGACGCTCGCCCTCCTGCGGCGGAAACGGGAAGCGCGCTAGTGAGGGTCCCCCGTTTCTCCTGCTCTGCGGGCACGGCGGAACTACTCGCGATCGTGGCTCGCGAAATGTCATTTCCGAATTCAAACGACACTCTTCACTGTCCCAAAGTAGTGCTGCAGCCGGTATGGGATTGTACCTTGCTGGAGAGTTTTAGTATTGCGCAGAGAAGCAAACGCAAGCGGTGTGCGTTTGCATTAAAGTTGCGTGCCCCACATTGTGCGTGCGCCTCATCACCATGCGCCGTCCAAGACCGCAATTTTGGGCTGCGCGCACGTGCAGTGTGGAACGCGCAATGCTAACGCAAACACACATCGCTTGCGTTCGCTCGTATACGCAATACTAAAACTCACTACTGTTTCACCGGCTTCAAACGCCAACGAAACGTTCTGCAGTGAGCAGACGTGCAAGCAGGTTGGCGTTTCTTCGAACTGGAAAGGCTGAGATCGGCAAAACGACGGAGCGTAAAAATGAAAGTAACTAAATGTTATTAAACATTTTATAATTAAAAAAAAAGGGTTTTTGTTTGCTTTTCTTTTTGTTTTTGTTTTTTGGGCATTTGGTTTGGAAGGATATTGGCGGCAACGTTGGACGTTTTGCCGATTGTCAAAAGTCGCGACTTTGAAGAAAAATATACTTTATCCACAATTAATGTAATTTTACATTGATTTCTTACATTAGCTATAATGTTTTATTTGATTTTAGACTATTTTTATTTTATTACTTGGTAATTAAAAATGCTGCAATTATTACCAGTGATGATAGAACACTTTTGATTGTCACATTTGTTCGCACGTTTGAAATGAGATCATGAGCAACAAATTATATTAGAGCTTGAAAAATTACGTAATAAAATATCTTAAGTTTAATATTATTATTATTAATACAAATTGCGGCAATATATGCCCCCAATTAACGCCAAGATCACGAAAATACGCCATTTAACCATAATAGTCTTTCCAGAAAGGTGTAGTTTTGTTTCCTTTTTAGCGTATAAAAAACTCTGACATCGTTATCAAGATAGACAAACAGCCAAACACTGGATGCAATATAAAGTCCTATGCGTCACGCGTTGCTGTAAAAAAAACACACACACTTCAGTGTTTGACTCGGATTCAGTCTTTGGATTGTTGCAGTGAGAACAACGGTTATTGATTTATACGTTTTGTGGACATATTGTAAAAATTTGAATGATTCTCTTATAATTGTGGTGGGAATAATGTCAAACCAATCAATCATCTAAATACCCAAAAACCCATTAAAAGGCCCGCAGTTCATTATTTCCCATGACAATTATCTGAGCGAGAAAAGGCAGCGAGAACGCACAAATATCAGCACTGATTTTTCAACAAGTACAAGTACCAGCCTGGATCGAACACACATGTCACAAAATAAAGTTTCCGCGAACAACTTCTCTAACGATATAATTGCGATGGGAGACACATCTTGAGCTATGAAAGAATCCGACATTAACTTCAAAATAGAGGCTAGTTTCGGTTTCGCTTCAGAATTAAAACGCGCATCCTTGCGTAAATACTGCGCTAAACACCGTTCTTGTTTTCATGGTAACAAGGTGACCTGCGCTCATAACACCCTAGCTTCCTCGTATTACCATAAATAATTTGTGTCGCTCAGTGAAGCCAGCACACTAGACAGACTCAGCAGCGGCACGCCATTTTGCAAAATGAGTAGCGCCACCTATAGTTAGTTGGAGTCGCGACGTAGGGAGCCCGAGGAAAGTATGTGACTCCCTCGCCGGGGCGAAGAGGCGGGGGAGGTGAGAATTTTTGTTTTTTTTCCCGATCCCCCAGAGGTCTGGTGACAGTTTCGAAATTTCAAAGGGTAAGCAAATTGCCAAAGAAATCACACTTTTGGTTCTTAATTTTTAGGCTAGGTGGCGCAGAATACCGCCCATTGTAATGTAAACAGATGTTAGCCTTCTTCATCCATCCCAGATTCCCAGATATGTGGCGTCATCTGGCGAATTAAAGGCGAATCATGTATATCTTTTTGGACTCGCTAAAATAAATGAACATAAAATGTACACTGTAATTCGCTCAAAACGCTATAAAACAGCTAAAAAGCAAATTCCTCGCATTTATTTACAAACTATTTCTCAAAGTAGAGAAGCGCAATAATACAATAGTCCTGGATAATGGTAAGATCAATGCACTGCCGTGGGGACGGTGGTGGGGACTACGTTATTTTTGCAATGGTGGAGTGTGGCGGTTCTGTGTTGCCCGGTTCTGTTGTGATTCTCAGTTTCAGCACGTGTCGGCACGCTTTGCGTGCCCGAAAGTTCCCTCGACGACCGATCGCTACACTACGGCTCACGAATCGCCTGACAAACTGCGATCGAACCATCGAACGTCGAGCGTGTACAAACAATGGTCGTCTGTCAAGCGTGCGGCGGCGAGACGTTCGAAGAAGTCTCGGGCCTCTACTACTGCTCGGAGTGCAACACGCAGAGCCAGGAGGTCCGGCTCGAAGAGGTCGACGACGCCTTCACGGCGAACGTCACATACGGCCGCTCTTCGTCCCGCTCCCCGTCGCGATCGCCACGCAGCGATGACTCCGGCGACGAGGGGGCCCCAACCAAGAGGCCCTACCCGACCAACGAGCTCTTCAACATCATCCTCGTGCGGCAGGTGAACGCGCTGGTGTCGCTGGGCGCCTCGCCCAAGCTCAGGACCACGGTGTGCTCGCTGTGGATGCGGTACCTGGTCAAGGTGGAAGCCCTCTCGCAGAACGACGACGGCTCCGTCGACGAGTTCGTGCCCCGTGTCAGCGTGGTGAACCGCTGGAGCGACCTGAGGACCGCGGAAGAGATGATGTCGGCCGGAGCCGAGGACACGCAGAGGCGCAAGGTGAGGAAAGCGCTCTTCTCGAGCGGAGTCCGAACTCGGCTGCTGTCGCGTCCCCTCCGCAATATGTTGAAGCAGAAGGTCCGAAGCGTCCCCCGAAAGAAACAAAACTTGGACTCGGACTACGAGACCGTCTCGGAAGGAGAGGACTCTGACCAGGAACTAGACTTGGTCTCCGGCGTCGCCAGGGACTACTTGGAGAGGGCGACCGAGCGCGGGGAGGACATCCACTCCAAGAAACTGACGAGGGAAGCCGTGAACCTGCTCGTCACGATGCGCAAGCTGGTATGCTTCCTCTACCTCGGGGTGCTGTTGAACAGGGACCCGATCCTGCTGTCCGACATCCTCCGGTGGATCAGTGACGGCCACGTCCCCTACCTTAACGCTGTCCGTCTGCTTCCGCCGGATGTCCGGCTTTGGGGCGCACAGTGGGGCTGCTTCGTGCGGCAGCTTCCGCCCCAGGCCGAAACTGTTGCCTGGGAGACCGCCTACCTGGCCGAGTTCCTCGGGGTCAAGCAGGAACTGACCCCTCCAGACGTCCTGCCCGTCCTGGGCCGCCTGCTCGTGGACCTCAACCTGCCGCTCGGACTGCTCGACGTCTGCCGCATGGTCCTCGCCGTGTTTCCAAACCTGGAGCTGCAGTGGCACTGGTCCAGGGAGGGGTCAGAGTCCCCTGTCTGTCTTCAGCCCAGCTGCGAAGTGAGGGCAGCAGCCATACTGCTCCTGGTGCTCAAACTCGTGTTTCTGCTCGACGGCAAGCGGGAGAAGCGCGTCTCGAGCGAAGCCGAGAAACTGCAGGAACCCTGTTCCGGACGTCGCCTCTTTTCCTGGTCGCAGTGGGAAGAGCACACAAGGGCGAGGATCCTCCTGCTGCGCTCCAACTGCTACCTGTTCGAACCGGATGACGTAGACATGTTGCGCAGTGTGGTTCCGCTTCTGCGGGAACCCAGGGAGCCGCTCTCCAAAACCTCTCCTGTCGCCATGGCACTCCGTGAGGGACTCCAGAAGGCATTCCGAGAGATGCACGGAGAGAACCTTGCGTGGCAGCAAGTGCCTCCTTCGAGCTTCGCCCTGACGACTGCCGTCGACTTCTTTGCACAGAGGCCGGAAGTGTCGCCAGGACTGAAGCAGGCGCTGGATGAGGAATTTCTGCACACGGACGTGACCTACCTGACAAGAAACCGCGGGGAGCTCGCCGAGCTTGGAGAGTGGAACGACCTGATTCGGCGGCACCCCGAGTTCGGACGTGTGGCTAGAAAGCGTTGTGAGCACTATTGGATCATGCACCCGCCCCCACTAAGGAAGACTAAGTACAGGTGCGTGCGTCATCGTCTGCCGTCCGATTTTGTTTGGCTGCTGGAGTTCTTGGCTACGGTGGTGCACTGCGAGGCCGGGAAGTTATATGCGGACCTCGTTTCTCTGGAGAAGAAAAGCATCATCAGACGACGCTCCTGACAAGGTCATTTGATGCGGGCTCGTACGTCTTTGCGCAGTTGAATTCAGGCCATAAAAGGCTTCCACCATGAAGACATATCTTAAAGGTGCACTAAAGTTGTTTCTGAGATTGTCTGTTGTTGGTGATAATTAGTCTTACGGACTCTAAGCATCCTAGGAATCCAAAAACTATGCTTGTGAGACGTCTATTTCCCTACTAAAAATGTGATAAAAGTTTGTGCCATGTACCTTTCTGAGCAGAAAAATGTGGAGCACAGAATTCATCGTAAGCGCTGGTGACGTGACGACGGGCGCGCGTCGGCCACTCTCAAGCCGTTTCTCTTGGAAAGGCGGCTTGCTATTGGCTGACGCGCGCCCGTCGTCACGTCACCGGCGCTTCCGCTAAAGTTTGTGCTCCAGATTTTTGCGGTCGGAAAGGGACACGACACAAACTTTGATCATGTTATTAGTAGGGAAGTACACATTGCACGAGCGTAATTTTTCGATTTCTGGGAGGCTAAGATCCCATAAAATCAGTTACCACCAAGAACTGACGTTCTCGGAGACGTCCTTAGTTCACCTTTAAGTGTAGTTTTTTTTCAGATGCGACTTTGTGTATTGAACACTGTTTTATTGTGCTGAACTTAAGGAATGTTATTCCACACTCCATGAAGGAGAAAATGGTGTCGTAGGAGAGGCATATGTAACCAAAAAAAGGCAATATGACATAGCTACAGCACAAGTTATTTCGGCGATAGGTTGTCTGTGTGGCAACTGCTCTGATGCAGCCTCTCGGGATGTAGAGCGCTCACTGATAACGGTATCCCATTACTTGTTGCCAATAATTTCAGTAAGGCAGTATGTGATTGGTACTACAGCAAAACTTCTGGTTAATTTATTTTGGCATGGCAGGTAGTAAAGAACACCCTCGATGCGTCTCAGCATGGCAAAGAATGGTTGTCTTTTGGTAAGAGTGCACGCAGGGAATGACAAAGAAGTAGGGTCGTTCATACCTCCCTACGTGTCTTGGAAGTGGGATTTTCGTCATAAAGAGGTACGCTGTACTGCATTGTTAGGTTTCCTGAGGTGATATGGTAGACGGAAAAGAACACGACACATGTGAAAGAAGCAGACTAGCAACTGTTTATTTTCTGTTTCTTCCTCCTGTATACCAAAATTTTGAAAAAAAAGACCTGGGTCAAACCAAGTGGCCCAAAATCGAAGCATGGTTAGATTTTTTGGCAGCCAATGAAGTAGCAGATGTGCAGAAGTCACAAAATCCAATGTGTAAGCTGCGTTTAAATCGTATGACTTCCAGAACTCTGTACAATACGGACACAGAGGGAGTCAATAATCTTTATATGATTGCAAATTCATTGGAGAGACGATTGTTCAGCCACCAGTGTTGGGAAGTACTTTAAGTACATTGTGCTTAAAGTGCTACTTTAAGGAAGTATAAAATACTTGTATCTTACTTGAAGTACAATCTCCGAGTATATACTTACACTTTTTTTTCTACTTTTTTTTTTGTACTCTCCGAGGAAAGTACAACTCTTGATGTCATTGTACATTCCCCAAATTAGGTCTCGCTTATTTTATATCACAAAATTACACTTTGTCAAATCTGAGGCCAGTTGACTTTATTCAATATTCGCTGCCACTTTCGAAAGTAATTGATGCACCCCTAGTATCTCTGGAGCAATGCATATTTAGTTAAAAACACTTACAACTTTACTTGAAATACATAAGCTCTCATTTACTTCGTGCTTTGCTCGCAGTATTTTTTAGATGTACTTTACCCAACACTGTTGACCACCGATGTGCATCTATTATTCTGGCTATTCACCATCTTGAGTCGTCACCTTTGGAGCTTGGCGCACCTTGGCTGTGTCTACGTCTCTAAGCACACTGGAGAATTTCCTAGAAAGAAGGTTAGGCATTGTTCCTCGCCCTGTCTTAGTGAAATGAATGCTTAGGCATTCCCTACTTTGTGCATTGTGCGGTTTGCTTTGGTTTGTTCAAACATGAAAATGGTGTCATTGCCTTTTTTTGACGACACCCGGCTCTGCCTACGAAACATACAACATTAAATTTGTTTTTATACTGACTATAATAAATAGATTTTTCTGCACTGGGATGCAGGTCCTCCCGAAGGTCCCACGACGCTCGGACTGCTTTGAATTGGCTTCGATTTCTTTTGGCATCCTCGCGGTGAAGGTGAAAGAGTGTCGCCGACAGGCCTCCATTGACGGTCTCTTCCCATCCGATGCCCTTTTTCGGGGTGGCGTTTCACTGAGACAAGTTCTTCGCGGTCAGTGGGAGGCCCGGCTCATGGAGCGCTTCTTGTTTCAGCTTTGCATCCAAGTCCTCGAGAATCATGTGCGCCGCCTTTTCGGCGATCATCATGGTGGGTGCGTTGAGGTGTCCGCACACCTGCTCGGGCATTATGGATGCGTCCACGACACGGAGGTTTTCGACTCCACCGAGGACCCTGCAAAGAACGCAGACGAGGGCGGATTGGGTCACTTGTATGAGAGGGAAGTGCTCACCCTCTTTGCACGTCTATTCCAGAGCTCTTTAGGTTTACACCTGTGGAACCTCAGGCAAACAACATGAAATACACAAGGAGTGTCTTGTTCACACAATCAATGTACTCGGCTTTCAAGCAGTGATCTAACCCCCCTACCCCCTTCACCTAACACACCCCCAGACTGACTACAACAATGCCCAGAATTCCCTACACATACCTTTGGTGTACCCCCCCCCCCCCCCTAAACCCCTCCCAGCAATTAGTCACAAAAGGATTTAGCATCCTTGAGTTTCAGGAATTGGACTGATACCATGGCTGCCTTCTTTCTCTTAGGGTGACAAACTAGCACTCGCCAGGCTGAATTGCTGTTCAGCTGAACCGTTTAGTGAGAGAACAAATAAGCCAAGTGTCCTGTTGCTGGTTGAGTAGCTGAATAGTCTGTTACTGAAAGTTTTGGATGAGGTTAAAGATGACACTGCTAAATGTGTTGCTTCAGTATTGCATTTATATAACTATTTGAAACTGACGACTCATTTCCAAACTATATGCTATCCCACATTGCTTACACCATTTTACACAATATGCACATACCAAATGTCGCCCCCAATTTTTTTTCCCCCCGCAAATGTAAAGCACGCATTGCGAAATGATCATTTTGCACCCAAATATAGCGCTAGTGGTTCGAACCAGATGCGAAAGTTTCAGAATCGTTATCTCATTGAAACGTTATAAATGATTTTCTGAAAATTTCAATGGGAAAATGGCGCCCTGTTATGCCCGTTCCTGGCGCCATTCTGCACCATGTATTTCAAAGCTCTGTCGGCTGCCATTTTCCCATTGAAAATTTTTGAAAATCGTTTTTAACTTTTTAGTAAGGTAACGGTTAGCTCCGAAACTGGCATCTGCTTCAGACAGCTAGGGTTACATGTGGTTGGAGAATGAGCGTTCGGCAATGCATAATTTATGTTTGTAAAAAATAATAAAAAAAAATATATATTTTTTTTTAGGTTGGGGGGGGGGGGGGGGGCGACACACTTTGTATAACAGTGTAATAAAACAATACATAGTTCACAAGCAGCATGCCACGGCAGAATATGATGTATGATGCTAAAATAAGAAACTAACGGCGGGTTAGTAACATGTCTCTCACAGATATGTTCGTCATCCCTTGTCCAGAATTTGTCTTATTCTGTCCGTGTCAAGTAAACTTCACCAACACACTCTACAGGTAATTTAGCAGGATAGGTAACTAAAAATAAAGTTGCTCCCTCGTAATTCAATAAATAAATCCACTTGCTTTGGAAAAAATTAGCCCCTTTGCCTAGAAAAATATGTTTCTGGCTGTTGAAGAACAAACAACGAGAGAAAGTTTGCTCCTTCTTAAATTTAAGAAAATCCAAGAAAAAGTCTTTCCGAACCAATAAGTTCCTTGTAGCGCTTTTTTTTTTTTTTTTTTTAGTTACGGAAAAAAGTAATAAGAAAAGTTAAGCTCCAGATTTTTTCCCCTCTCCCTCAAGATATCCGAAGAAATTGCACCGTAACGCAAGGCGCGCAGTTCCGGCCCTGACGCCGTGGTGATGTTGCAGAGCTGTAAAAGCCAACTTGCTCTGACGTGAGGCAGCACAATTTTCGTAGATCGTTTTCGCCGTCCCGCAACGCTCTCCGCAACCATCGGCGCGCAGGCGCAGTAGCGGCTTCTTCGTAGCGGGGGCTTAGCGGAGGGGGAAACGCAGTCTACGAAAACTCCCTGATGCTTCACTAAATTGTGCGACCGATAGTTGGTGAGAAACCCAACTTTATCGCGTTGCTTAACCTTGTAGGTGGTTGAGCGTGTTGAAAGTAGGACCTGGAAGACAAACAGGCTGTGTTGTCTGTCTTCCATGTCCTAATTTCGTTATCGTAAACTTCATAACTTGCGGGGGTCTTGTTTTTTAACGCTATAGGTTGTTTAAATGTATGCTAAAAGCAAAAAAAAAAAAAAAAAACACGAGTACGTTTTGGCACGGACACAGTAAAAAAACGTCCGCGACAGGACTCGAACCTGCAGTCTTCTGATCCGAAGTCAGACGCCTTATCCATTAGGCCACGCGGACGGATGGTGTATGTGATCCACCTGCAGCGGCAGAAGCACGACCTACTATAATCCCAACCTGCCTACAGAATAGCACCCCATGGGAGAGGCTGTCGCCGATGTAGTGCCTCGCTTCGCCGGTGGGGAGGCTCGGTAAAGGTTTTCGTTCAGTGGGCGGGTCAGGATTGCAGTGGGACGTGGGCCGATGATATGGTGTCAGGGGGGGACTGCGTGGGTACGGCTGTCGCGCACTTCTATCGTACCATATCACCACTTCTATCGCACCTGACACTCTCGCGCAGTTCTGTCGTATATCTGACACCTGACGGTTCCACTGGTTCGGAGAACCTTTGAGCTTCTGCAAAATTCCACATTTGACTTTTTAGAACGTGTTGCTCGACTTTCCCGCTTCTATGAACATTTCGTTCACTAATTTATTTTATAGTAAACTTTAAGATTAGGGATTGTTGCATATGGCGGCGCACAGAACGAATACGACGAGCGGCATCGGCAGCTATGGCTTAGCGCTCCATGGATTGGCTCTCACCTTAAGTAATCTTGCCCATGTGTAAATAAATAGCTAACCTTAGTCAAGGAACCAAAGGCCCCGACGACTACAGGGGGAGGAGAGGAGGGAACTCCCCCTCTCTCTCTACCATTCCCCCCGCCTTTCTCCGGAACACTTCTGACACCCCTGCAGATAACCATCATTAAAGGGACCATGAAATGATTTTAAAATCGAATTTCATCCACCGCACGTCGTAAAAGGTGTGAAAAGGAACACAAAAACACAAGACTAGGGAGCCAAAAAAAATTATTTGCTATAGAACTTTTAAAAGAAAACTGGACTCTTTTGCGTCTTCTTTCCTTCGAAAGCTCTGCCTTTTCACTACGATGCATACGCAGAAACGGTGCACGTCAGCCGAATCCACATCGCCTATTGGGTAAGAGCCTACCTCACCAGCACCGCGATCGTAAACAATAAATAGCCGGCGAATGTTTCCTAAAAGTTTTGTTAAATAATATTCAGATCCACATTTTGTAGCATAATTAGAGATGTGTGGCGAAAATTGCCAAATTTGATAATGCTGAGAGCCAAGCGCCATCTATCGTGTGGTAAACGAAGCAACTACTGCGCGTGCGCAGTAGGGCAGGGCCAAGTTCAGAACGGTTATTTCCTTTGGTTTCCTTCCTCTCAAAACTCTGACTGACTGAACGTTTATTTTTCTACGTGTTCATCTCGCGCGCGCCGACTTCAAGCAGCAAGAAAGAAATGTACTTAAAACAAACCACGACGAACAAGAACGCTGGATCCACAAACACCCGAGAAGAGCGACAACAGCCGCGAATCCCGCTCCGACGAAGCTCTCAGAATAAGGCCTAGCAGGCACTCCGACTTGGCGCAGCGTTGCTTCGTCGCAAGACCGTCTGCCTACGGCCGGCTGGCGTACTGAATGGAATATGCCCGCGCTACCCTTGTGGACCCTTCCGTATTATAGTTTGATCGCTGACCTCAATTTTAGGTTAAGAGGTGAGGTCAATCTCTTCCCCTTGTTTTCCGAGGCAGTGTTGACGAACACTCGTCGAAAAGGGACCCTCGTCGATCCTCTCCTTGTTTTGTGTGATATAGAGCTGAAATAAACGCCGAATGGATTACCTTCGTAGCACGGTATGTACACTTTGTTATTGGTATGCCATTTTTATTCTGACAGACTGCACGTCACTGTCGAGCTGTAACAGTTCGTGGGAGGTATACGTGCAATACCGGTCCAACCTTTCTTTGCCGAGTGTCGCGTCAGTATCGAGTTGCAATTGTAAAAGATCGGTCCCGAAGCGCTTACCAACAGCGCGAATACAGCACTTCATCAAACGCGCGCGTCCGCTCCGAGTGTGAACAGGTATTTACGTGGCTCTGCTGACAGTTCAAACGTATCTTTTTTAACGTCGGCTCGCTCCTGCATCTCCGAGACCGCGAAAAACGCCGCGGCAAATTGTTCCCATCTGCACTTCCCAAAAGGCATACCGGCGTATGGGACTAGTCCCATGCTGTCGCTGTAGCGCAACGTATCTCATTGAATTTCGCTCAGCTGCGATGCGGCGATGAGAGGCGCCGATTCAGAAAATACGTCGGTGACATCGGCGCAGTAAAACCCACCGGCGCACTCCAACTCGCTAACGCTCCCATCTCCTACTGCAGAGAGAACTTCCGGTTCCGGAAACATCGTACGTCACGGCTTGTTTTGCGGTCAAGAAAAAGTCGATATTTCATTAATTTTTTGTGTAGAAGTTAATAAACCGAGACGAAAACGGATGCCTGTTCGGCATTCAGTGAACATTGACGGTTTATTGTAAAAGTTATCTGGAAAAAGTAAAAAGGTCATTTCATGGTCCCTTTAAAGGGATGCTGAACCGAAATTTGAATTTCCCAGAACACGCGGCAAAAGCGTGCAACGGGATGCTACAAACACCAAAACATCACTCATACGGCGATACCTCGAACGGATGACCGTAATTTTCAAAATACGAGGCGCATTTGGCAGGAATGTTGACGTCATGTTTCTCCGAGAAGGAGAGGGAACGGCCTCGCGTCTTCTCCGCCTCGCGGCCTTGAGGGAGCGAAGCGAAGAGAGGAGGAAACACGGTATCTTGACGTCACGCGCCCCGTCGGCCTGGTTCAATCTCGACCTCTTTTTCCAGAAATACGGCCGTCCATTCGAGATATCGCCTTGCGAGTGGTGTTGGAGGGATTGTAGCGTCCCGCCTACATCTCCTGCATTGTTTTTTTGAAGTCCATATTTCGGTTCACCATCCCTTTAATAACCAGTGTTGTACGGAACGGCGTTCCTGGAACACGTTCCTCTTACCGGGAACGAAGGAACGCCGCCGTTCCGTTTTGAATCGGTAGAACTGGAACGGGAACGCTTTAAAAATTAAAAAAAAAAAAAACGTTTTTTTTAATTTTTTTTTTGTTTTTTTCTGAGTGAGGTAATTTTTATTTTATTTCTAAGGGGGAACTTTAAAATGTATAAAAAGAGCTTTACGAAGGGCAGGATCTCGATAACTTTTTGGTCACTTATTTTAGGGTTTATTTTGTGGGTTCCTCAAATAATAACAGTCGAGTGCAGGCGAGCTGGTGGAGTTTGATTCTTGTTTCGGTGCAGAGAGCCTGCGGCACAAAACAAAAAACTTTGTCGATGAAAAAGACACCGAATGAGGGACCTCTCAAACTCGGCTACTTTCTTTGCTTCGACGAATCCTCAAACACACAGAAATGTAAGGCCGGCTACAGGCATCACTGAACTTCCACGAAGAGACCTACCATTACAACAAAAGCAGGTTGCTAGACATCGACCGTACCCTCGTAGCTGGAAGATTGGTCACTTAAGAGATACGCAAAAATTAAATCTTACATACAACGCTCGCATGCGAGCAGTGTAGTGTTTGAAAAGCGGGGCGTCCGATGCGTCCTTGGTAGATGAGAAATCCAGCCAGCGCACTACTGCCGTAGAAGCCTTGAGGCCGTAGTGCTCTGTGTTTTTTGTTAGTTTGTATTACTAATAGTGAATTTCTCAGCTTTTCGATCTGTGGTTTCCTCGTACACTCATTTGGGAGGTGTCTGCCTTTCTCACTTTTATATTTTCTGAAGTTTTTGGGAACAGAAAGACTGCTAGTTATAAGGGAAACTAAAATATGAATGAGAGAGTAGGCCCAAAGTAGGTCGGTCAGTCGTAGAACTGTACCTTATTTTATTCGAAGTCTGGAGACACTGCTGATGCACTTTCCTGCCTTAACTACTTCTTTGGCTTTAGTGAGTTGGGCGAAGTTTCTTTCCTGTGCTTTGACATACCTGAGCCTGGGGTCGACGACGGCGTCGGGCCCCTTGCCCATCCTGCAGGTGCCGGCGGGATGCCACAGCGCCGTGGTGAACTGCCGCGCCAGGCACTCGAGGTACGCGTCGCTCCAGAGCAGCTGCTGCTCGCAGCCCGGGAAGTGCCGGGGCCACATCTCGGAGCCCAGGGCGCGGAAGGACGGCGCTTCGGCGATCCGCATGGCCACCTTCATGCCTGCGGGGCGTGCAAAAGCTCTTCGGCGGACATTGCATTCGCAAAAAGAACCGGGCGTTCATATAAGAGAAGAAAACCGTGTTTCTCGGCCCACGTAAAGGAAGCTGAATCTCCGTGAGAATTTTGACGCTAGCGGTGGTGATCGAACGCGAAAGTTTGAGAAGATGACGTTGCCCGGATCAAAGGAGAATTGAGAAAGTCGAAATTTCTCTTTGAAGTGGCCGACGTCCACCTAAGTCTAATATCGAAACAAAAACTGAGATTATGGACGCATGTGGAAGGCACTTGCCAGAAGAAAGAGAATACTGTTTTCTTTCTTACTGAGAAGTTCTTCTATCAGTGAAATAATTTTTAAGCGCGTCCACACTGTAATTTCTTGTTTTGACAATATTAAACGAAGACAAAGTAGAAAAAAAAAACCTTGATATTGTTTTTTTTATTTGAGCGAGTAAGGTTTATATGATTAAAATCACTGTAGCTAGAAAATACCGATCCTCTACCACTAGGTACGTTCATCGGATCGCAGAATAAATAATTACCGTAAATGTAAAACACAGTTGAATTAACAACTTTTTACTGGTACGACATACTAGAACAAGATCACATGGTTGAAAAAACCCCGAGACTGCGGGTAAACGACACGACACTCGGGTTTTTTTTCAACCATGTGCAATGTGCACCAGCTCGTTTGCGCCCTTACTTTTGGTTCAACAAAATCAGTTTGATTTTTTTTTTGTTGTTTTGTTATTCAAAAAGCTTTGTTATGTCTTTTGCGTTCTGACTCAACTGCAATCGGAAATTGCTTTTCAGGCTCACAGTACTTTCTTTCGCGTTCTGATTTTGTTGCCGTATGAGGCTCCATAGCTGGCTACCAAAATGTAAGGTAGAAGAAATCAAGCTCAGCACTCCGATTTGATAAAAAAAAAAAAAAAAAAAAAAAAGTCACATCCTTAGGTCGTGTTCAACTTTAATTAAATCTTTCTTCCTCTATGATTCTTTGATTAAAAAAATGCACACAGAAATCATCAAATGATAGACAAACGGCGAATGGAAATATTTTCAGGATTATTTTTGCGAGAAATGTTCAATTGGTCTAATTAAAGTCAGGATCTGAATCATGATTTAAAGCAGAATTTAAATCATACTATTTTTAATTCTCCACCCCGGTTGTAGGTGAATGTCGGCTCATAGAACATTTAATCTTTCTTAATTATCTTTTGAATAGGGTAACGTCGTCATGTTCTCACGCAGTTTCACCTTTCAGCAATACTTTATTTACGCAAACAAAACAAAAAAGGAAAACATTTTGGTTTTCTGACGCGGCAATTTTTTTTTTTAATGTCCGGGATATGTACAAAAAACATTGGCCAAAGACGCCTCTAAAAAATATATATATATATATATATATATATATATCGCGGAAGAAAAAACATATTTGTGCTGATAAAATGCTTTTTATGTCCACTTCAAGTGAACAATACGTGTTTTCAGGAGAGCGTTCATGGTCGGAGGGGCTCATCTTTAAAAACTAATTTCTCAGCAACAGCAAAAAGTACTTTTCTAATTTTGTTGAGATATTAAACAGATTAGGTGAATTGAGCTTTTGGCTAATTCGAAAGTTCCGGGCACCGCTGCCCACATTGCTTTTAATGACTCTCAATGTGGTCGTTTCTGGATAAACTGAATATGTTGTCATTTAATTAAAACGCAACAAAACGAGACCTTGAATGTTGAACACACGCACTTAAATTTTTAGTTCCATGAGAACGAACAAAAAAACTATTGTAACTAACATTCAAATCCAGGTTGACTAAAAAAAAATCTGATAGTCTCTTCTTTTTTTCGGAGGGGGGGGGGGGGGGGGGGGGGGGGGGGGAGCTCCTATTGGTACTTAAACGGGCACTGACACCCCAAAGGTCGTATTATTTTTTATTGTCTAAAACGATGCAAATTATAGCCATAGACACGCAAAAAAAAAAAAAAAAAAAAAAACGCATCGCAAAAAAAAAAAAAAAAAAACTTTCCCGCGCGCGCGCGCGCCTTTTTATTTTTGGCGTTTATTTTTCCCGCGCTCACCTCCTTGCTTCGTTTAATCGGTGACGTCAAAATAAAAAAAAAAAAATTTAGAAGCTTTGTAGGCGACATTTCTATAACATTTAATAAGGGCAATCGTAAAACATGTTTTTTTAACGCAATTGCAAACGCCCTATGGCCTTTCTTTTTGAAATACCAAAAATCAGATTTCGGTGTGATGTCGCTTCCTGGATTTGTATCCTCCCTCAGAAAACTTGGCGGCGCTCGAGCAGAGGCTTATCGGCGAGTCGGGGAAGAAACCGGTCTTTTTTCCCGTGCCGGCGCCCTTCTATCCCGTCTGGTCACCTCCTCCTCGCTTCGGGTCGCGGTGGCAACGGAGGTCCCAATGAAAGTCGAGTCGCAGGAGACCGCAAAATTTGACTCACTGCACTGGCGCGGATCACGGGGGAACTTCAAATTCGGCATTTGGAAATTGTTTTTTAAATTCAGAAATACTGAATTCCCAAGTTTAGAATTTTGAGGGTAATGTCCCGGCATCGTTTTCAATCGTTTCGGATTAAAAGAAATGATTTCGATGTGTCAGTGCCCCTTTCAAATGGCGTCTTTCAGTGTTTGTATCTTAGCGTAAGCAAGGACATGTTGTCGGGTAATTAGGCGCGCACCTAAATTTCTGTGGTACGAGAGCGTTTTTTTGCAATGTTTTTTCTTAACTACGTGGGTTTGATGCGAATTCCAGACATTTAGAGCATAATATTGCAAAAATAAAATTAACTTTTTTCCCAAAAAATACTTTTCTTGGAGTTCAGAGGCGTATTTATCCAAAATAATTTTTTTGTACGTATCCCCATTATGAAAAAAATTGCCGCGTCTCCCTTGGCATGGAATACATGTCCGGTATCTTTTTTTCACCTCATTGAAGTGCGCAAACGACGCTCCGAGCTGATATGGGACCGATCAAACTGCTTCAAAAGCTCGCCCATGTGCTTTTTGCCCGTGTTCTGTCATGGCTGAAGCTGGAAAGCCCAGTGACTTGCGTTTTTTCACGCTGTTTGATTGGTCCGATCAGCTCGTAGAGTCGTCTGCGTCGGGAGGTGAGCTGAAACCAAGTTTCGTCACCAAGAAACAAATTGGCTGCGGCTTATTATGCTGCCGCAGTTCTCGCTTGATTCGTCCTTCGGCGCTCTTATCCAGTAATGGCACATTCTCATTGGCCTTGGAAGGGTCATCAGATGTCCGGGACTCGCCACGTGACAGCTATGGTCAGGGACTACTGTTGTCACGTGCCTCGCTCCGACGGGGACGCCGACAGCCCCAAAGATATATATTTTTAATTGTTTGCCAGGCGATTTATTATGGCGTCTGAAGACTACCTAACCAATATTTTGCGACAGCGTCGCGCATATTTTTAATAATGAAAAAAAAAAAAAAAAAAACGCAACTGTTCGAATCCGAAACTTAACTGGTGCAAAAGAAGAAATATGGAGGAGGAGAGTTACCGGAAATCACGTGGGTGTGCAACCTTTTTTTTTTTTTTTTTCATCAACGTATTGCAGCTTTTTAGAAGTTGCATAAAATGGGTATACTACATTACTATTCTTAATATTGAGTGTGTGCCTTCGAGGACCCACGTCTTTGATTATACGTAGAAAACGGCACGTGATCACGGAGAAGAGAGTGAGCGCGACCCGAAGCGGCCAGTTCTCGATCGGCGATTTTCGGGCGGAAAGAAAACGAATTTCGAACCGCCAATTCTGTTCTGGGTATGTGGGGCGCTCATAGGTCACGTACAAATAAAAACCTTGGCGAGCATAAATGCTCTGTCAGTGTCCCCTTAAATAACTCCTTGCGGGCGCAGTTTCCAGGGTTTTCCGAGGCAGGGCGTAAAGAATCCATCGTCTGCAGCGCTCGAGCCTCGCACCTTGGACGATGACTTTGACGTCGTCCGGGTGCGACAGGTACCGCGGGTCGATGAGCGGGGGTTCCTCCGGGTTGACGCTCCGGAGCCGGAGCACGCCCCGGGACTTTGGCCGGAGCAGGATCGGGGCCAGGTTGTAGCCGTGGGTGCCCCGGAGGGGCAGGTAGTACTCGTCGTACACCTGCGCGCACCACAGCCAAAGCGCAGAGTTGCCGGAACGACATAAGTAGCGTCCTTGCGCCTGGCGGCCGAATATGGGGTTACGCTGGATCGTATCAACATTGGTGCTTCAAAGAGGAAGTAGCATCAGGTAGTATCTGCGCACTTAAAATAGAGAGAGAGAGAGAAAAAGAGGGAGAGAGAAGTGGAAGTTCAAAGGCGAAAAGATTGGCCTGTTTTATATTCAATTTACGCACGAAATAATAAACAAATGTGACGGAGCGCAGAACGCGACATCTTTAAACTTTTATCCTGGGTACGTGACCTATATCCGGCTTCCTTATGCTGGCGAGAAGGAAAGAGATGGAAAGACTGAAACCTTGCCTCGAGGGATGAGAGGAGAGAAGCAATGTGGATACTCGTGAGGCTGTTAAACCCGAGACCATGTCCAACCATCCCTGACCTCAAGTGCTTGGCTTGAGAACTCCCCAGAGATGAGGAACGCGGCGATTAATTTCTTTCCCAGAGGAAACACATATGGGTGATTTCATCTGAAATCGCGCAAGAAAAAAAAAGATAAATCCCCCCAAAACAGTCTAATATATATATATATATATATATATACAGGTTTTTTTTTTTTTTTTTAAGTTTGACATATTTGTTTAAAAAGAGTCGCGAAAGTTACACTTATGCCGCTTGTGGAAGGGAGTTGTACGACCAGGGGGACATAATATAGGGGGCTAATCGTAACGTTCAGTCGTCTAATTAATTAAAATTCGTTAATTAACTTTTTAATTAATGAAAATAGACATATGGTTCCAATTAGAAACTTGCTCGGCGTCATCGAAAACCACTAAATCAGTAATTTTCAGAAAGACCCTGAGCACTAAAGTTACCACTCGTGGAGCAGGTACAAAGCTAGCGGTTGCAAAAAGGCGCCCGCGTGATTTTTCCATCTCTTATCTAGACCCAGCCTTGTACCTGCTCCACGAGTGGTAACTTTCGTACAATACTACGCTTCTCACCCGCCGAAAGTCTCTCTGAAAATGACTGATATTGTGGTTTTCCATGACGCTGAGCAAGTTTCTAATTGAATCCATATGTCTATTTTCATTAATTAAAAAGTTAATTAACAAATTTTAATGAATTAGACGACCGATCGTTAAGGTTAGCCATCTATAAAATGTCCCCCTGGCCGTATAACTCACCTCCACAAGCGGCATAAGTGTAACTTTCACGGCTTTTTTTAAACAAATCTGTTAAGCTTAAAAAAAAGAAAAAAGAAACACCCTGTATATATATATATGTTGCTTTTTTCACTAAGTGTTTTTCTTTGCTTCTCAGTATAGATGAGGCAGAGTAGTTTGAGAACAATGGACTGGGAAAATGTAATAAGTCAAAGATCTGTAGTTTCGGAGTTACTATGCTAGGACTTTATTGCATAGCAACTCCGACAGTACGGGACGGTGCGACGATTTTTGTACTTTGTGCAAATATCGCTTAGAACGGATACCTAACGTTAATGATCTGCGAAACACCCGTTCGTTTGCATTATTTGCATCTTAATCATAATCCTATATATGTTTTTTGTTAATCTCATATGAACGCTTTAACATTATTTAAGACAGTTTCAATTTCTGTAGTATAAGTAAGCAAATTGAACGTGCGGAAGAACCCTTTATCACATTATACTCTAAATACTATCGTTGTATAAGTTTTTCCGAACTGTGTGGGGACTCGAGAACCATATAAAATTATGATCATGTTAGAAAAATAGCAAATATTTAGGTGAGAAACGAAATGACAGAGATGTGCGTCGTAGACTCGAGGTAAAATGTGTCTTCTTTTCAAACACACTGCTTAACATGACGAAACCATATACCGTATGTCATAGAAATATTATCGCATTTATAAGAGCACATATAAAGCTTTTCACATAAAAATTGGAAAAAAAATTATGTAAATGACCTTGAATTTTGTGCTTCTAGCTTTTCTTCTCACGTTTAGTGTCGTTTATTTTATATAAACTATATTTAAATTAATATCATAATTTTTTAATTGGGCTTCGATACACGCTCTCATTTGATATGTTTCTTACGCCTTAAATATTTGTACATCGAAAGCTAGCTGGATTCCAACTTGCCCCATTATTATCGAAAGTGCAATACCCAAAATATTTTATTTTGTAACAAAAAAAAAAAAAAAAACATCAAAAAGCACACTTCTAGTGTACTTGATCCCTTCTATATAAAATATAAAAAAGTAAACAAAAATGTTATCACTGTTGTGAAAAAGATGATCTAAACGTTGCGAGACTCCAAAAAATGTCAATAGTGAAAACCGCAAAAAATCACGAGACCAACCTTCTGCCCTTTGAAAGACCAAAACTCGAGAAAAAAGAAAATAAATCCGTAGTTCAAATTTGGAGTTTTGTTCTAGTCACATATTTTCCACCAACATATATTTCTTCAAGGTTTTTCGAGGACCCATCGACTTTGTCTCGCACAATTTGAGATGAAATCACCCATATACGAAAGGCCAACCGAAAATCTTACGAAATATGGAACTCGACAAAGTTACTCCATGCTAATCGCAGGCTATTTGCTGCTCATAAATCGCAAATACGATTTTGTCAAACTGTATATCTGAGATTCCTTTTCCCTCCTCTAACAAAACATTATGTGGAACTATCTTCGCATATTCCGAATTTCGTCCGGCATTCGGTCGGCATTTTGTGCACGTGTGCAGCCTTTTGTAAGATGGTAATATTTGAATAGCGAACACATACGTCATGAGATCCGGGAGGATAGCGCATGAGTGCAACAGCAATATATTGCAACTTCCATGAGGAAACCCGTGTGGCAATAGTGACATTCTATTCAAGAGTCAACAACAACTCGCCTTCGGGTCCAGCCCGATGTCCAGCATGAAACGCTCTCCTTCTTCCGAGGCCGGGGACATGGAGTAGAGCACTATCTCAATGTCCGGCACAGTCGGGGTCTCGTTGGCCGCCTGGGTCTTGACGAATGCCACAGTCTCCACGCCACCAGGAATGGTCCAAGGCCCTGCATTGGTTCGCAAATTGTCATCGTATCTGACGTCCATGAACGCTGCAACTAATAGCTAGCTAGCTTCCACAGGTAGCGCGCCAGAGAAACTTCAAGCTGGGTACAAGCTTTACATTCTATAGGGGACCTATATTGGGCCGAATACGGTTTGGCTCCAAAACGTTAGTTGGTACTTCGGTGTTTCTCTGTCTTTTTTCAAGCTCACGTTATTGCCAGAGTGACAGAGTCGAGCCAGAGACGTCAGGTGTGAACCGAAGAACCAGCAGTGAAGATTAAATCGAGCAGTTGTTTGGCTATAGCCTATTTAGGCCTAAGTATGCTTTGTGATAACCAAGCTACCAGTAACTTTGGCTCAGTGTTGTACAGAACGGCGTTCCAAATTAAGGAACGGCGTTTTTGGAACGCGTTCCTTTTAGGAGAATCGAAGGAATGCCGCCGTGACATTTTGCATCGGTGGAACTGGAAGATTGTCCTGTCTGTATTGCCCTTATATGTCTCCACTTTCTAAATGTTTAAAAAGCACCAACACGCTCAAATAATACAAGTTGGAACAGGAACTCGTTACATTTTTACTGAAACAGAAAAGGAACGGCGTTCCCGTTTTGTTTTTGACCAGAAAGTAATTTTTAAATTTATTTTTAAGAGGGAAAATCTAAAATGTATAAAAACAATATCATTACGAAAAGCAGGGTCTCGTTAACTTATTTGTCACTTATCTTAGGGTTTATTTTGTGGGGTTCTCGCTTGGTAACAGTTGGGTGCAGAAGAGCTAAGGGAGATTGATACATATTATTCAGTGCCCGAGACTGCGGTACCAAAAAAAAAAAAAAAAAAAAACTTTTAGTTGAAGGAAAAGCCGCAGAAAGAGGGGCGTCTCAAACTCAGCTACCTTCTTTACTTCCACGAATACTCATACACCCAGAAATTGAAGGCCGACTACAGCCATCACTCAACTTTCACAAAAAGACCTATAGTCAGAACTGAATAAGAGGCTACCAGACATCGAACGCAACCTTGCATCCCGAACCAAAATCTGGATTCCACAAAACACGCAGCAAAAGCGTGCAACGGGATGCTACAAACACCAAAACATCACTCATACAGCGATATCTCGAACGGATGACCGTATTTTTCAAGAAAAGGAGGCGCGTTTGACAGAAATGATCACGTCATGTTTCTCAAAGAAGGAGAGGGAACGGCCTCGCGTCTTCTCCGCCTCGCGGCCTCGAGGGAGCGAAGCGAAGAGAGGAGGAAAGTAGGTATCTTGACGGTCACGCGCCTCGTCGGCCTGGTTCAATCTCGACCTCTTTTTCCAAAAATACGGCCGTCCATTCGAGATATCGCCTTACGAGTAGTGTTGCAGGGATTGTAGCGTCCCGCCTACATCTCCTGCATTGTTTTTTTTTTTTTTGAAATCCAAATTTCGGTTCACCATCCCTTTAAAAGATGCACAAAAATTGACCTTCACTCCTTCTCCCCTTATCCTCCCAATCACAGCCGCTGGATTTCTCGCCAACTTTCTCGCCAAGTGTCCAGATTAGGTCCCCAGCTCAGTGATCGTGCCATGACCTTGTACTTTTTGTCTGCGCGTGTGTTTGTGCTTGTTTTGTAGCCTTTAAGTGGCGCCGATTTATGGTGAACCCTTCAGGTGGTTCCTTTTCAAGTGATGACTTCGCGCGAAAAACATTTTTCAGGTTAGAAGACAAGGCTTCACTGCACCTCACCTTCTGTTAGAAGACAAGGCTTCTTCCAACCTGGAAGCCAATCACGGATGTTTTAAAATTTGAACAAACGTTGAGGCCGCACGCTTTCGTCTGTGGCGACTCCTGGGGTGGCTCTGCACCGTTTAAACTGCTCCTCGTAGACCGAAAGGTGATCTGCTCACACCAGAAGCCGGCCACTTACCCTTGTTCTGCGTGTAGTACATGACTGGACCGGCGAAGGGCGTGATATCGATGTCCAGCTTGCGAGACACGGTGGCGCTCACGCCCCCGACGTAGACGTGCTCCATCAGGTTTTCGCCCACGCCCTTCAGGTCGGCAACGACCGGAATCTGCGTGTATAGGGTGCGCACGTTCGCCTACTTCTTGCGCGGAGAGTGAGGTGACGTAAGAGCGCCGAGCTCTGATTGGATGGATTAGTGGGTAGACAAAAAGGCTGGTTGCCTTTGTCTCTACCCGGTGTCTCCCTCCAATCAGAGTGAGCAAGGTCGTTGTCTGCTCCTCGCTCAGAGGGAGCAGCAGCGTCAGAGTCTGGCGTTCGGGCCCCGAACGCCTGTATGGTCTGTTAGTCGTAGAAATGGACGGCTTACCTTTTCTGCTTCTTTCGAAAAACCACCCGTTATTTACGAACCAGGACTTAGCCTTCGAGGAAGAGGAAAGTAAATGCCTCGAAAGGTGTTGTCTTTTGTCGACTAACGACTGCCAGACGTGTTCCAGCAAACGAGAAGATACCGACCGAGAATATTTCGTCTGCTCTGGAACGAGGAGCGGCTGGGGGGCGGAGCTTCTTCGTACAAGTCATCTCTCCCCTTCACCGCTCCTCATCTCCTCCCCTCCTTCACTTGCGCGCCGTATACGCGTTACGCAGTCGCGTTTGTTTCGAGGGCGTGCGACGTCTACCTTGAATTGCTCGAGGTGCTCCTTGGGCCCCACGCCGGAGAGCAGGAGCAGATGGGCTGACCCGATGACTCCGGCTGACAGGATGACCTCCCGCGTCGCGGCAACGGTGCGAGCGAATCCTTCTTTGATGAACTGCACTCTCGTCGCCCGCTTGCCGTCAAAGACCACCTGAACAAAATGGCGCCACAGCGTCATTTTAAATTCTTTTTTTTTTTTTTTTTTTTTACGTGGGATAGGATGGAATGGCGGTGAAGCTGTAATCACGTGAAGGCCGCTGGATTATACCTGAAAAATAATGATCTGTAGACATCGACGCTACAAGATGCCTTTTAAAAGTAGAGCCTTTGTTAGTGCGTATGAGAATATTCTGCTCGCATACACGCATACATGGCCTTTTTTATTTATTTTTTTAAAGGCGTTTATTACACAGTGCGCGGGTTCTTCCGCTTGGAAAGGATGTTGCATTGAATACCAAAGTCTCGTTTCATTTCCGAAACATGAATCGGAGATTTAATCAAGGTAATATCAAGATTTGCAAACATTGAGCACTTAATCGATTTACAAATCGGTTAAACACTCAATGTACCAATCGTGCTGGTAGTGCCGCACGCCGTAGCAGCAAAAGAGTGTAGCGCGCGCGTCATACGTCTGACCAACGTGATTTCGTGCTCTGAGGGCACCAGACTTATTACTGAACATGATGGTAAACCTGAGACTAGGGTAGGAAAAATCGTTCAGCCTTGCCATCCTCGTGAAGGAGGACCAGCGGAACTGTACTCGATACACTGCGTGCTTCTTCTTCGTCGTCGTCTGTTTTTCGCGCTGTTTCCCACGATGAATTCCCACCAACGCGTTCAACTATCCATTCTTCTATTATAGCTGGAAAGGTTGCCGCCATCTACAAGTGACGGCGGAAACCATTCTGGTTGTGTACTTGCCGCCGTCGCTTATAGATGGCGGTAGCTGTCCAGGTGCAGGTGTGTGTCGACATACACGGAGACGATCCTGGGGAACCTAGCCCTTAACAGCTCCGCTGTAAAAAAACGCGAAGAGCTGAGTTTGAGACGCTGCCTGTTCTTTTTCTATCTTCCTTCGCGTTTCTCTTTTTCCAACCCGTCTCAGGTTTACCATCATGTTCAACTTACACCAGTTCGCCTGAACTTTGACCATTTGTTTCGAGATCTATTACGTTCATAAGGTAGGAAGCTTCTGGAGGCGACATGATGCCACCATAGATGAAGCCGAGGGAGACTTCTGGTTTGAAGGGACACGCCCCCAACAATGACCAAAAACCAAAAGACCTTATCGGTCGGAAAGGACAGTTGATTTGGCGCAAACAGCGGTTTTGGTAACCGTTGGGGGTCGTTCCCTCCGGCCACGTTCTGTGCTTCCGGCTTCACTTGTGATTGTCTCGTTTGGGTGGCTTGAGTCGGTATATGACCACCTTTTCTTCCAACCTCCATGATTACGCTGGTTCGAATTTTGAGAAGTAGTACTTTTCGAAGTTTCTGCTGATTTTCACTTAAATTAATGTCGCGTTTTTTTGTTTTTTTTTGGATGCTCGTTCCGTTGCAGCCGAGCCTGTTGGGCCTTTTCCTATATTAATAACGGCGTAATATATCTTTCAAGTGAACGTTCATCTTTGCTTTTGTGCCAATATGTTTTTTTTTTTAAAGTTCCCCTAGGCATATAGGACGCTAGGCTTAAAGCTTTGAGCGAGATGAGAGTAACGTTACAAAATAACGTCATGCATCAAATGCCCTCACACGGCCGATAAATATAGCGAACTGACGTCTCGACATATTCTCCTAAATTAAGCAAGTATGGCTAATTTAATACTAATAATTAATCGTGACAACGGAATAGCGGAAATGATGCAAAATAAGTAAATTCTTTTACCCCCTCCTTGCCAGCGCAGCCTCTATCACGTGACACAGGAGAGCGCGAGAGGGTACCGGAGTTGCTCGCCTGCCCTGGCCCGCTCGCTGTCGCCTCCAAGGTCGCCCTGTCGTCCTCTACAACCGGTTGAACCTAGCGTTCCCTACATTCGTTTCGGAGCCGCCAATGGCGCTGCACGCTTGGCAAAAGCAGAGCCGTGTAATTGGAGAGTTTGGCTAATAGGCGGAGCAAAGGCTGCCGCTAGCGCCGAATATTCCCCCCGCGCTTAGAGCGTAAACTAAATTTGTGTCACAGCGTCGACCAATCAGGAGACCGCGACGTCACAATATTGCAAACGACATTTAAAGCGTGAAATAGAAGCGTTTAATCTCGGCCTCTCTACTCCCTCTCACAAATGTCTGCAGTGAAGACAAAGGCACAGGCGAGTGAGCCTAGCTCAGCAAAACGCTTTTGTTTGTACGAGAACTCGTGCATTGGAGGCACTTTCCAAAGCCACGCGCTCGTGCCCATGCCTTTGTCTGCACTGCTGATGTTGGCTTGCTATACTTCGTTTCAGCTTCGGTACAGACGCAGCCGATGCTACAAGCGCGAGCATGTGGCCCAGAACAGTGCTTGCACTGCACGAGCGCGCGTGCTTGTCAGGGATGCTGAAAGCCCGGAGCTCGCGCTTGTAGCTTTGGCTGCGTCTGGACCGAAGCTGAAACGAAGTATAGAACAGCATCCCGAGACTGGCTGAAAGAAAACAGTGCAAAGAGTGGGGCGCGCGAGCGTCTTGAGACGCGGAGTCCCGCTCGGCTCGAGCGCTAGCTTTGGCAGTGCTTCCTTTCCCCGTCTCAGCTGAGACGCTGCTTCTAGCAAGTCGGCCCTGGTTTGGAGCGCACGTTCGTTTATTCTACACTTGAATATTGGCGTGACTAAAACCTCACATGCACAAAGTTTTCAGTCACCGAGAGCTAAACTTTTTCACTCTAGCGACGCTAAAACGGCTCAAATTAGTCGTGTCACATATTTAGAGCACACGACCACCGCTAGGGGCTGTTTCACGGCCTGCGGTTGGCCCCGAGATGCTCGCCTATTCAAACCAATGTATGGCCAAACTCTTTCAATAAATCGCTCTGTGCGAGAGCTCTTATGGGAAGAGAAACATACGCATCCTTCTACTACATACTCTGTGTTGGCCGCCTTACCTATTGGATTAATATTAGCAGTGAATCGTGATACCGTAAGATTAAGACAAGGGAGGCTTTGCAAAACGAGCTGCCAACCCCCCCTTTAAAGGAACCCGAAGGGTAACATTTTGTGTGCGAAGAACGACATACACCAGCTTTTTCTCAGAGAAGAAACGGTTAGTGTTGAATAAAATTACAAAGTACATCTGGGCAACCCATTGCCCGAAACGCAACATCTTTCCGTGAGGTCAGCACTCTCTGCAGATTCCTCCCCTCTCTAACCAAACTCCCCCCCCCCCCCCCCCCCCCCCCCCCCCGAAGGAAAAAAAACAACCTTCGCTCATAAACTTGCTTAAACTAGATTTTTTTGTTAATGGCGAGTAATGCATTTGACGGAATCACCTTTGTGGCCCTGGAGGACAATGCGACGTGCAGGTTGTTCCTTCCGGCGGGTCCGGCCACGGGCTTGAGGAAGGCGCTGGCCGAGCTCAGGCGAGCGCCTTTCCGCGTGGTCGTCTGGAAGGCTGAGAACCCTGTGGCCGCCGGGCCACAGGAGTCATGGTGCCGGGGTTGTCCTTTGACAATGCAGTGTAATGCACGAAATCTGAGGTCCGGTCGAGTTTAGAGATCCGGCAGAGGAGCGTGGGCAGGCTGGCACTGGTGGCGCGAGGGAATGCACCGAATGAAGGAGTGCAGGGAGACATCGACTGGCCATCTCTCGGGGTAAGAGAGGCGATCAGTAAGTTGAAATTTGAACAAAGGCTAAACACAATGAAGGATACACGATAGGCGAGGGAGGTGTATAAGCATCTACATATGAAAAAGTCTGAACACTAAATGGACAAACCGAACACGAAAACTGAAGTTCAAGTACCAACAGTCAAGTGCGGAGTCAGAGGAGAGTACCTATGTGGAAAAGGAAGTAAAAGAACCCGATAGAAAGATGTGGGAGGAAAGAACGGAGAGAAAATCAGCTTTGACTATCTATGGGGGATGAAAACAGGAAATAAGGAAGGAATGAAAAAACGGTTAAAGTGCAAGCGAGCTGGTGTAAGTTATGACTTATGCATGATGATTGAAACCTGAGGAGGTGGCGACAATGGGGGAGGATTATATAAGGCGTAGACACAATAAAGTCTGTTGCTCAGTTTGAGACGTTGTCTGTCCTTTTTAGAGCGCAGCTCTTAGGGGCCCGTTTCCGGCTTGAGCGGCGTCGCCGTCGCCGTCGCAGTCGCCGTCGGCGTCGGCGTCGGCGTCGCCGTTGGCGTAACCGCGCGGTGCATCATGGGAAATGTCCCATAATGCACCGCGCGAGCCCCCACCGGGGTCACGTGACCTCGTGCGGGGTCACGTCACCCCCCGAAGTCACGTGACTCCCCTGAGGTCACGTGACCCCCTCCTCGAGGTCACGTGACCCCCGCCGATGTCGCGTGACCCCCATGACGTCATCGTCACTGATGACGTCACCGGCATCCACATCGTCATCGTCATTATCACTGATGACGTCACCGGCATCCGCATCGTCATCGTCATCATCACTGATGACGTCACCGGCATCCACATCGTCATCGTCACCGATGACGTCACCGGCATCCACATCGTCATCGTCATCATCACTGATGACGTCACCGGCATCCGCATCGTCATCGTCATCATCACTGATGACGTCACCGGCATCCACATCGTCATCGTCATCATCCCTGATGACGTCACCGGCATCCACGTCGTCATCGTCATCATCACTGATGACGTCATCAGTGACGTCACTGATGTCGTCACCGGCATCCGCATCGTCATCGTCATCATCACTGATGACGTCATCAGCGACGTCACTGATGACGTCACCAACATTTGCATCGTCATCGTCACTGGTGAAGTCATCAGTGACGTCACTAATGACGTCATCGGTACCCGCATCGTCATCGTCACTGATGACGTCATCAGTGACGTCAGTGATGACATCATCAGCATCGGGGGTCACGTGACCCCCAAGGTCACGTGACCTTGGGGGTCACCCCCCCCCCCCCAGTGCCCTTCCCTCCTCCTCCTCAAGAGCTGCGCTCTAATTCGGCGTTACAGGGAGTTGTAAGCGGCTTTCATTTTTTTCTTCCTCCCTCACGAGTTTCCGTTTCTCAATCCACAGTCTCAGGTTTCAATCATCAAAGGGGGATCGGTGGCAGAGGGGGCTAGCGCGCACCAGCTCGGAGCACGTGGAGCAAAAGCTGGCGTTGCAGAACCTAGGGATCCTGGGTTCATTCCTCACCCTGCCCGTTTCTATCTGGATGAGCATCGTACCGGCGTGCGGTCGTGTACCACTACTGCGTGGTGCGCGTTAAAGGCCCTGGGCTAGCAGTCGTACTGCACTGGTTAAATGGCATATCTACAGTGGGTAGCTATGTTCTGGCAGATTAACCTCCTGCTGTATAAACAACTAACGACTAATTTTACTTTGATTTTTGTCAATCATCCTGTATAAGGAAGGAATATAGGTATAATAATTCACAAGAGAACTCGATTTTTTTTTTTTTTTTTAGGATAGGACAGGACAGGAGTATTGAGGACTAGGACATACAATACAAAGTATGAGAAAATGGATACGCGCTGTACCGTGCGCCAAGGGGAAGACGAGACAATAGAAGATGTGGTGTTGAGGTGCAGAGGGCTTGCTCCCGCCCTCCCGGAGGGTGCGACGGGCTTAGCCGGAGCGCTGATGCTTGCAGACGAGGATTCGAGAATGAAGGATAAGTGCTTTTTAATAACAAAGAAGTGATTGGAAGGCTTGTGAAAGTTATCTAGGGAACATGGAATGATGTACAACTAACTAGCCCGGCTGGGGACAGGCGCGAAAGAGAAAAATTGAGATTCGCTCCCGCGCGGCTCCGGCCCAAAGTCTCAACTGTCTACCAAAGGGCCCGGTGCCGGGGTAACGCCGACAAGGTTTGACCAGAGGACAATTGGCGACTCCCTCGCCGGGAGGAAGAGGCGGGTGATGATCTTTTTAGTTTTGTTGCCCGATCCCCGAGAGGTCATTCTGGTGATATACCAGGTAATAGTTACAAAAATTGCAGAAGCAAAGCAAAGTGGCTTAGAAGGGCGAAGGGAGAAATGATACTTTTGGTTTTTAATTTCTAGGCTAGGTGGCTCAAGCTGCCGCCCGTTTTAAAAAGTACAGCAGGTAGCATCCATCCATCCATCCGTCTCACGATAGCGGACAATAGCGGACGTGCCGAAGACATCAGGGGGGTCGTCCAGCAACCCGGACCTCCTCTCTATGACTCCACACGTCACGAAGCTCGCCTCTTACCACCGGCGGTATAGCTCGTAGTGAAGTAGGAAGTTTTTTACGCCAATTTATTCCCCCCCCCCCCCCCCCCCCCGAACCGGGTTTTATATACACATACAAACATCGGTTCGGATATATCGAGCAAAATTCAGAGTAAAAAGATGGCCGAGATGACGTGGGTGCCCCATTCGATTCAAATTATTATTGACAGACCTGTGATTCGGATGCTGTTGGTAAACCTTTTAATCCGCAGTCACCCTGCACAAACATTAAACAAAAAACAGAGGCATGACGACAGGCATGACACGCTTCGAGCATGTTTGTTACATACACATGCATGTTTCCAATTCATGTCTGTACAGCTCGGAGCGCGTGGAGCGAAAGCTCGCGCTGCAGATCCAAAGGGGTCTAATCCCCACACCTGCCCGTTTCGATCCGGATGAGCATCGTCCCGGCGTGCGCGTCACTGCTGCGTGGTGCAAGACCCGGAGCTAGTGGTTGTACTGCAATGGCTAATGGCGAATGCCACTAGGCGTTTTGGTGCGCGCCGGGATCAGTTGACCAGATCCGGACTGGAGCACACAATCCGAACGGGGTCGCGCCGCCTACGGATCCCCAGCGGAACGTGACCACTGCTCCGGGATCGGCGGATGCCTTTCCGTCATTCAACTGCCCGGGAATCCCCTTTCCGCGGTCGTTTCGAAGACGTTTTCGCAATCGCGGCGCTAACACGTGTTCGACGCACGAGCGGCAGGAATGGCTCAGGCGCTTCTGGCAAAGATTGCCAGAATGCCCGTAGCGCGGCCAAATACCTTCTCTTCTCCTTCCTGGAAAACGAACCGGCTGTCGAGCCAAGGGGTAAGCAAGCGGCCATTACGAATTCTTCTGATCTCGAGACAATCTAGGAGCCCGCGACGTGCTTCTTCTTCTGAGGCGAGATGGGTGAGATCAGGCGAGATGCCCCACGACAAATTAAGTCACGTGTGTGCGCCGAGGGCTGGCCCGGCTGGCTTCCGGTTGAATCTGCCGAAATCGTAAGAGCGACTTTTCTCGGATCCAAATCGAGATCTGGAGCGGGAGCTAATTCAAAAAGACCAGTGAAACACGTCGGTATCGATCCCGATCGCCCCGTGAAATAGGCTCGCTCCAGAAAAGTCGATCACGGCGCGCTCCAAAACGACCAGTGGAATTCGCCATAAATTGCTCATCTACAGCGTAGTCTAGCGTTGCCACCCCTCAAAAGCAGACCTACTTTATGCTTTCTAAACACGCACGTAGAATTGGATATCTTTCTTTTTTTAGAGCGCAGCTCTTAGGGGCCCGTTTCCGGCTTGAGCGGCGTCGCCGTCGCCGTCGCCGTCGGCGTAACCGCGCGGTGCATCATGGGAAATATCCCATAATGCACCGCGCGAGCCCCCCACCGGGGTCACGTGACTTCGTGGGGAGGCACGTGACCCCCCGAAGTCACGTGACTCCCCTGAGGTCACGTGACCCCCTCCTCGAGGTCACGTGACCCCCCGAGGTCACGTGACCCCCGCCGATGTCGCGTGACCCCCCGATGACGTCATCGACACTGATGACGTCACCGGCATCCACATCGTCATTCTCATCATCACTGATGTCATCATCAGTGATGACGATGACGATGCGGATGCCGGTGACGTCATCAGTGATGATGACGATGACGATGTGGATACCGGTGACGTCATCAGTGATGATGACATCAATGATGATGACGTCATCAGTGACGATGACGATGTGGATGCCGGTGACGTCATCAGTGATGATGACGATGACGATGTGGATGCCGGTGCCGTCATCAGTGATGATGACGATGACGATGCGGATGCCGGTGACGTCATCAGTGATGATGACGATGACGATGTGGATGCCGGTGACGTCATCAGTGACGATGACGATGTGGATGCCGGTGACGTCATCAGTGATGATAACGATGACGATGTGGATGCCGGTGACGTTACCGACATCCGCATCGTCATCGTCATCATCACTGATGACGTCATCAGTGACGTCACTGATGTCGTCACCGGCATCCGCATTGTCATCGTCATCATCACTGATGACGTCGTCAGCGACGTCACTGATGACGTCACCGACATTCGCATCGTCATCGTCATCATCACTGGTGAAGTCATCAGTGACGTCACTAATGACGTCATCAGTGACGTCAGTGATGACATCATCGTTATTGGGGGTCACGTGACCCCCCAAGGTCACGTGACCCCCCCTGGTTAGTCTAACCCCCCCCCCCCCCCAGCGCCCTTCCCTCCTCCTCAAGAGCTGCGCTCCAATTCGGCGTTACAGGGAGTTGTAAGCGGCTTTCACTTTTTTTTTTTAAGGTATGAAATGCTTTTTAACAAAAACCTTCGATCTCAAAATTGTGTTTTTTCGTCCGTTCATTTTCGGACAAATTTAGCGGAGAACTTGACTTCGAGTGACCTCACGTCACGTGACCCACACACAGTGGACGTGACTACACGTAAATTCAGTTTCCCGTTAAATTTAGCGGAGAAATTGACGCCACGTGATTAAGCACCAATTGAGTTTCCCCCTATATGTGTTGCAGTAAAATACACGTCGCGTGACGCACCGATTCCTCTCCCCAATCTTTTCACCTCCCTTCCATCTCCTCAACCTCCTACATTGCCCTCTCTGCCTCAACATCTGCGTACCTTGGCCTGTATTTCCCTTCCTTTCCCCTTCACCCTCCCCCGCCATAGTGGGTAGACCTCAAGGCATCGAGCATTGAGGTTTACCCACTATTTTCTTCAATCAGCCAATAAGAGCTCGGCGTTGTTTTGAAGTCACCGCCACTTCTGAGCAAGAAGCCCCAGACTACTTGCTCTCCACATAGAAACTACACCTTAGCAAGACAATACACTGCCAGGATACACGGGTACCCCAACTGTGCCGAGCCAACCTTGGACTGGGCAACGTCGCCACAAAGAGCAGCTGCCTTCCTATAGGACGCACCGATCTGTTGCCCTCCGTTGTAGTCGACGATGTCATAGCCGAGTTCCTTGCCCGCTGCCAAGAAGGCCTTGGCCAGCTCCGTGTGGGACTCCGCGCTGGACAGGGTCAGCTCTCCGGACGTGCCGTACATGTCTGCGGCGCGAGAGACGGATCGTCGCACAAATCCACACATCAAAGGCCGTGGCGCTGGATTTCATCCACTGGAGGCCAGCTCAGGGCATAGATTGGACACGAGTGCTGCGTCCTCCCTGCCGAACGCTGATGCATCACTCGTGTCTGATCTGTGCCCGCGCCGGTCTCCGGTACGTGATGTAGAAATCCAACCCTATATATGTACCAACGCACCGTTTTCAAAGAAGCCCGCGTTTGCCCACACCGTGGCGTAGGCACTGCGAGCGGGCAGAAACCCGATTCACGTGCGATGAAGCCTCTGTCCATGCGTAGTGCCGACGGCAGCACCACCGCGGTGGCGAGACGTCAAAGAGTTGAGTAGGTCTATAAGGCCTTCTTGTCTAAGAGGTCTTAGATACCGAAACTCTAAGCGCAGCTCATTTAGTGGCTCTAGTTCTTCCTTACTCGCACGGTCCTCGCGTTCTTCGTGAACAAAACGCGGGCGTCTACTTTCTTCTAGTGCACCTGTTTGGACCGTCACTGCGATTGATTGTGTCAAGCCAGTGATGGTGCCGAAAGAAGCGTTTGTTAGGACAGAACAAGCGGGTTGGTAGGGATAATTAACCTTGAGGAAGAAAACGAGAAGGGACGTTTGTTCGCGCAAGGATGCGATCGGCGCGCTTCGCGCTTGTGAAAGGACACGCTGTGCTGGAGCACAATGCGTATTGCTGACAAGATGTTTCGGTGGCGCCCTCTTATGGGGTTCCTATCCGTGACATCACGGCCAAGATTACTAGTAGCGAGCGACAAGTTCGATGGTGCGTGAAATTGCGATTGAAGCCTACTCATCACGTGCATAAATCAACGGCGTCCGAGTTGTTACTCTGACATTGCTCTTATATCCGTCGATGAGAGCAGAAATAATCCTACCCAAGACCGGAAGTGAGCTAGGGTGCCGTCATGTGCGCTTTGCTTAGGGTGGAGGTGGGGTGGAGACATCTAGCCATTTTGTCCCACAGGTTTATTTTTATTGATTTTTTTTTTTGTTCAGAAGCGCGTGAAAGAGCGTGTCCCTGCACGCGTTTGTGGCGCTGACTGTGCTATGGTGCCATTTTGTTTTCGTAGATTTCTTCGTATTTTTCCCCGGACGCGCATGACGTCGGCATCGGGTACTACAAAGGGTGACAGCTCCCTAAACAGAAGGACATCGAGGCACCCTATAGTGAGCGTTTGGACAATTCTGGAAGGCCGATCACAGCGACGTTTTTGGTCTCGCACGCCGCCAATGCCCCTGTGAACGTTCATTCTGACTCGTCAGCTGCTAAGTTACTTTTAAACGTCATTAGTGCTGACTACCTGTACGATATGCTGCAAGGAGCGGCCATACTGTGTGCATTGGTGGCACTATACGAGGAGAGTGATAAAGGAAAAGTGCATTAGTACTGATGCGATGGACAAACCACTTTTGGAGATTTCATATTGTCTTTGAAGACGACCTGAAGATGATTCCAAAATGTATGGTTCGCGCTCCCGGTATACAATCGCAAATTCTCCAAGATTAACCAGAGCGGACGCGATATAAACCACGTTAATAAAGTGAATTCGTTTTTGTTTTGTTTTTTGCGTTGTCTTTATGATTATTTTTGGACAACATTTTTAATCAACACTCAACAAGGCTCCACCTCACTCTGTACTTCTCTAGGCAATGATATGACTAATTAATCGCACTAAACCACAGTGATTTACATAATCAAAAAAGTTTCGCAGTCCCGCAAAAGGAACTTTTTGGCGTTTGGTGCAATCTTAAGCACTAGTTCTGAAACGTGTTCGTCGTTGGCGACATTCAATCGCAAGAACGGTGAGCAACAAGCTACACTTCAGACAAGCCTACGAACGGTGTATGCTAAATGTTTGACTCGAGGATGTATGCCAAACCTTACCGGTGGCCGCCAGTGCAGCGTTGGTCTGTGCCTCGAACTTCTTGAAGAACGGCAAGACGGAGTCGAAGTCCCACCCTTCGGCGCCGTGGTCCGAGCTCCACAGGTCGTAGTCGTGAGGATTTCCCCGAACGTACAGCATGAAGTTGATAGCGCTGCAGCCTCCCAGCACCTTGCCCCGAGGCCACGGACTTTTCTGCGTGACGAAGCCAGGGGACGACGCCGCGAGTTTGTTAGACTGAGCCGTAAAACTCCCTAGATAATAAAACCAGAGCTGAATTTTCAACACTACGGCTTTGTTCAAAACAGAGGTGTTGCAACGGAGCCTCGTGCTTGCATGCGATTTCCGTTCTACAGTTTTATCCTTTGAACACCAGACTCCGCCAGACGAGCTGTCTCTGTACGCATGCATGGCATCCACTGACAACACATCAGCGGCCATTGTAGTGGACTTGCTGCCGAGCGCGTACTTTCTGCGGCATGCATCTCGCACCACCGATTTAGCGCCGTCACGTGCAAGCCACGTCTACCTTGTTCTTGAGAGCCAGGCAGGCGTTCCTCTGGGGCTCCGTCCAGAAGTCCCAGTCCAGCGGTCCTCGGAGGTTTAGGGAGGCCATGAGCGGCACATCGGTCAGCGTATTCTCGACGCCGCCGGCCTCGACGAGGAGCACCCTCAGCTCGGGCCTCGAGGACAGGCGGTTGGCCAACAGGGCGCCCGCCGAGCCACCGCCCACTGCACCCACGTAGCACGGAAAGGAGTTTGGACGCTGGCTACTTAGACTTGGTCAGGACGCAGCCGACGCTATACGAGCTGATGGGACCAATCAAACTGCGCCAAAGGCGCAAGTCAATGGGTTAAACCAATCATGTGCACGGAAGCACATGATTGGTTCAGCAATGATAGAACGCGTACGCGTACACGTAACGAACACTGTGTTGTTGCGCTTTCTATGCTGTTTGATTGGACCCATCAGCTCGAAGACTCGGCTGCGTCCGGACTCATAACGTGCCCAAACAATGGCGGACTCGGATAATTGACGTAGAAGCTACCAGATGGCGCGCACGTTTGAGAAAGCTGTGTAACCGAGCCTTAAGAAAGCTCGGTTACACACCCACTTTACACGAAGTGCCCAGTTGCCGGCTCCCACAAGCTATCCGGGCAATGGAGTGCCAATGCATTAGGCTTAGCTCTTTAATAGAAAGACTAGTTCGGACAAAGTATGAAATAGAACTGCACCTCCTTCGTTGTCCAGCTTTTACCACGGCCAGAATACACCTCGCGAAATTCCCAAGCTCCAAGGAGCACGCTGAGTTCGAAGTTACACGTGCTGGTGTCTGCAACACTAATTTTTAAGCAGAAATCTAGAACAAATTACACTTTGCGACTGCATTCGTTTGAATCGCCTTGTTTTAGTAGCTTACTTTGAATCATTCATTGACAGAAGGCGGGTGCGAGCGTCACGTGTAACTACAAACCCTGCAAGTTCTTTGATGCTTGGGTATAGTATTGAAGTTGGTCTAACGAACCTGTCCCTGACAAGAGGGCGTGCGAATGAGATTGTCACGTTGCTGGATTTTAGAAATTTCGAATATGTCGTTCACCCAAAGAATTGTCTCGTTCCGTTCTGATCACGTCTACTTTGTGCAGAGGCAATTCCTCTCCACAGAGGGTGCAGGCGCACCCAACGTCGGCAGCGCCGGTAAACGACAAGACGGAAATAAAAACGCTTCGAAATGCAGTTTACAATACGGGCAGAAACTGGGGGAGAGGAGGAAGCGATAGCGCGCGGGGACGTGAGAACGCCGATTTCTGCTTGGAATAATCAGTAAAGGTAAGCTGCTTTTGGTGTCTACTGCACTCGTCAAACGCGTTCGAACGCGAACGCTAAACGATGGACGCCGGTGTTCCGAGTACTATAGCGTCCGAACAGTGCAGTGGAGACAAAGGCAGCCAGCTTTGCGACTACCCACTAATCATTCCAACCGGAGCTCAGGGTTTTGACGTGCCCCACGCGCTCTCCTGTCCTCCTCTCCCTCAGTGTCTGCCCGCATAGCAGTGAGCGTTATGCAAGCAGGTGAAACGTTCTCCTTCAGTGTTACGGCAATTACTTTTATTTTTCTTTCTGGCATTGACTTTGAACGTTCTGCACGAAAAGTTAAGGCTGGTTCACACATCTGCGTTGGTTGCGTTCGCATGCAGGCGATACGACCGACGAAGTCACCGGGACAAGTGTTCGCCGTACCCAGCATGGCAAGCGCTGCTGAGAGTATCTTCGCGAAGCAGTCGAAGAGTCACGCTTGTTGCGGTGTTTTGGGCCTCTAATAAACTCGTAAAACACAAAGTTGGGGCCGAAGTTGACGGAGCGCACCCATTGGACATCACGACGGTGACTTCGCGCTTTCTTAGCCGACGTCCGATCGGCGCTCTTCTGCTCCAACCTTATGTTTGACGAGTTTAGGGCCCTTGGTCGTTACAGTCGTTTCGGTTGCATGCAAACGCAACCGTTTAAATGTGTGATCCAGCCTTTTATACGCACGGTCTTCTTCAACGTAGTTTGGGAAAGTGCATGGTTGAACGAGCACTCGCACATTCATTCATGTTACAGTTATCGACACCAGGATTAGAACGGCGGAGAGGTTCTTTGATTGTCCAGCCATGCAGCCCGAGCTTCTATACCTTCGAAAACACTTCGGAATCTCGTGAACTTCGAGCGTGCACGCGCGACCAAAGCACTATGGAAGGCTAAGAGCCCGTGCTGGATGCATTCGAAAGAGACCCCTGCCGTTCTCTTCATGTTAGTGACTAGAGTGGTGCATGCTTTTATTTTTCTTTATCACACGATGCATTTCTTTTTTTTTTTTTGTGGCTGTAAATATTGGAAATTTTGGAAAAGACAAAAGAGGCCCCATACGACGAAACATCTTTATCCAAAGAGGCATGCGCTCAATGTACTCGCGTGTACTCACCAATCACGTAGTCGTACACGTCCAGAAGTTCCGTCCTGTCGTAATAGTCGGGCTTCACGGGAATCCTGGCAAACATGACGGCGAGGAACTGCGTCATGGCCAGCACTTGGGCCTTGCTGAACATGGCTTCGTTGTCGTTCTCCGGCAAACTCGGTCAACGCGACGGGATGTCTCCAGGAAAGCTGCGCTATGAAGATGACCCGAGTGCAGGAGAAGGATGTCAGACCGCGACGGCGTGATTCAGAGTTACTGTCATCTCTCGACAGTGACTCATTGCTGCAGATCTTGCTTTATACATACGATAATTGTATGTATAAAAACATACACAACAGACGAATAACGGGGAGAAGCTAACGATAAGTTACGTCTTTTTTCCCCTTTGTGTACGGATTAAGATCTCGTCCACTCAATCACGCCTTCGCGTTTTCAGCGCTTATCATATCAAGAAACGGTTGACTCAAAGCTTATATATATATATATATATATATATATATATATATATATATATATATATATATATATATATATATATATATATATATATATATATATATATACTAGGGATGGTCGCGAACCACCCTAGGTTCGATTTCGAAAGGTTTCGATATTTGCGAAGCGAACACTGAGGTTCGATTTCGAAACTTTTCGATATTTTCGTACCGACCGAGGTTCGAATTCGAAAAATTTGAATACTTGAATATGGTCAGCTGAACAAATATTCAAGTATGTACCAACTAGCTCAAGTAAAACCCGTCGAAAAATTCGCAACTTTCGATCACAATGGAGTTTCGATTTCGAAAAGTTCGAAGCTTTCACGGTTTCTAAAATTTCGGGTTCGAATATTTCGAATATCTTTTTTACTTGAGGTTCGATAAATCGAAGGTTTCGAACTTCCCTAACTTGAAATTCGAGATATTCGAAAAATTTAAATTTCTTGGGATCTGAAGTTCGAAAAATTCGAAGATTTTGAAATTCTTTGGAAATAAAATTCGAAAACTTCGAACACTTCAAATTTTTATAGACATGAAGTTCGAACAATCGAAGATTTCGAATTTATTTCTGCATAAAGTTCGAAAAGGTCGAAGGTTTTTGATTCTCTTTTAACGCTAAATTCGAAAAAAAACTTCGAAGATTTTGAATGTCTTTCAAGTCAAAGTTTTCAAAGTTCGAAGTCCGGTTTTCAAGTTCCTAGACAGTTTGAGTTTCAAATAATGTTTTCACGACTCACTGGTTTTCACGAAATCAAGTTTAGAAAAGTTAGGGTGTGATATCCAGGCTCTGCGAAGTTGGTCAGGCAATTAAATGAGACGACGAGTGTCCCGGATGTGCTGGAATATTTGCCAGTGCAAAGTGACGTGTGACCATAAATCGGTAATTGTGACCGCCAGCCCGGGGGGTCTTTAACCTGCATCACGCAGTAGTGATCACATGAACACACTGTTTTACGATACTCATACAGTTCGAAACGGCCAGGGGCGAGCAGGAGGTTGAGGCTCAGAAAAACCTTGAAGCGACCTGGCAAACTACTTCCCTACCCCTTGCACCCTGGTAGTAATCCGATCGAACGTCGCCCGAGTGACGCTATAATAAGTTAAGTTCGTAATTGTCCTGGAGGTTTATTTTCTAGGACGGGGGAATCGCCTCGCAAAAAACACAGAAGCCGACACAACTCGAGGTCGAGGAGCGTTCTAGCATACAAGTGGCGTGAGAAGAGGAAAAACGGGGGGCAAGAGGGGAGGGGAGGAGGGGGTAAGGGGGGGGGGGGGGGTTCAGCCCCCTTCCCCCCTTCCAGATATTTCGGACTGTTAAAGAAAACAATTCGGGGAAAGAGGGCGTGGTCGAGCTTATTTTAATCTGAAATTATGTATGCATATGTATAGCTACTGTCGCTCTTCACTGCATAAAGAATCGCGTAGATGGTCATTGTTAGCAACTCGTTGTCACAAGGCACTACTCGTCACATGCTTAGTGGTTCGGAAGTTCAAAGCTATGTCTTTTCGACCTAAATACCTGTGCAAATAGTAAAAAAAAAAAAAAAAAACATACTAATAAACGCGGGGATAAAAAGCTGTAGAAAAAAAAAAAAAACTATCAAGAATTCGCCGGAAGTGTTGTATTCTTGCATATTCAGAGGTTCAGAAATTTGAAACAAGTTTCTCCTACCAAAATGTGTACAGGCTAAAAGAAACACGTCCCAGGAACGTGTTTCTGGGAGCGTTCCTGGGATGCTTCACGTCCCAGGAACGTGAAGCGAAAAAAGAGAAGTTTTCTTTTAATGACGTGCTGAACTTGAACAATATTAGAAATCTTCTCCCATGAGTTAATTTATTCCTTAACGTGAAAAAACAATAAATCCATTATTTTGTATTCTGCAGATGGCAATGATATGTACTGTCTGTGGTGTTAATTTAAATGTGATACCTCAAACAACTTAGACGAAAATAAATACCAAGTTTAGGGCATAATTGCATGTAGATACATGATTGGACATTTCTTCGAAACTTATCTTAAATAAAAATAATCACATCGTAAGACGACACTTACTTAGGCTATACATAGATCATTCTTAAAAAGTTTAACATCTCTACCATAAATAGCTTCGGCTACAGCGCGCTTCAAATCTGGCACAAACGATAATCATCAAAAACTCGCTGTCCTTCCTCGCCCAGTCGGGAATTTATTTCCTTAAAACTAAATAGGCCAGAACATTGAAATAAACGGCATTGTCTTTCGTAAGGAACGCAGCACCGCGTGTAAAAGTTCGAGAAAAAAAAAATTACGAATGTACCTCACTA